AACAGGACAATCAAGCTACAAGGAAGCCCATTGGCCTCAAATAAAATAATTCCCTTAATAAAACATGAAGATGATGGTCAAAACAAGCCTTTTTTCCAGTTTTATAACAAGTCTCAAAAATGAACATAAATAGGGCTATCTAATCATGCAAAAATGACCCTTAAAAAGAGAGTAATAGAGACAAGGGAACAGCAGCTGGGCATGAACAGTGAAGATCCTTCAACAAAAGTCTGAAAGAGGGGTCTCAAGCTGTAAGTACTTTACATTTACATTCAAGTCTCGAAAATGAAACCAAAAAAATGAGGCTAATCAGCATGCCAAGAAAAAAAACCAAAAAGGGATAATGAGACAAGTGGTAGAAACTGACCTCAAACAGAGGAGAGCCCTTCAACAAAGTTGAGAGGGGCCCTCAAATAAGGACAATTCACAATTTATGATGAAGTTCAAAACAAGCTCACAAATAAGGCCTAATAAATATCATGCAAAAAATAGGCAGTAAAGAGAGTTTAAACCACAAAGGGAGGAGGAGACCTCAAACAGCAAAGAGGTCTCGATCAAACATGAACAAGGAGCTTAAAATATGACTATTTGCAGTTTCAGTGGGAGCCCAAAATGTAAGCAACAAGCTTAAATTGCATGCAAAATAGAGCAAAAAGAGAGAGAAATGAGCTCATCCTTGTAGTCCAAACTCCAGCAGCTTTTGTCTGAAAAGGAAAAGGGGGGAAAAATTTTTGTGTTTCTAAGCTCTGAAAAAAACTAGCCTCAAGTTGCAATGGAAAAACGAGTATGAGGTTGTGCTTATGAGTGGTAGTGTAAAGGGGGCAAGAACCTTAGGTTTGAAGGGTTTGGAAGAGAGAGATAGGGAGAGAGTTGAGAATTTTTGAGAGAGAAATTTTTTTTCTTTAAGTGTATCTCTCTTCTCCTCTTGTAAGAGAGCTTGATTGATATAGAAATTATATCAATCTGTAGCTCCCAGAAGTCCCACGGGTCCAGCATGGACTGGGGTATGGCCTGGAATGACAGCGCCAGCTGTTCTACAGAGATTATCTGGTTGAAACCAACTTGGCCGGCCGCCATCACATTTGGCCGATTGGAAAATCAACGGTGGCGGTGGGCAGGAGGACTGGGTCGACAGGCTTCCCCCCTTTCCTCAGGAAAACATATCCACAAGCTCTTGGTGCAACCAAGCACAAACCGAGAAGTTAAGAGATTCTAAAGGCAAGGCGCACAGCCAAAGACTTTCGAAACTCGGAAACAAACACAAGCATGGATAATCATCGCGTGTTCAAACGATGACGTCCAAGCCTTGAGGACGGTCAAAAATGTTGTGTTACAGCAGCCCCATTGTAGTTTCAGTTAACGAAAGGTACAAAATCAACGGTTTCGCCGGCTCAGGCCGGTGACAACAGGTCGGGTGGGTTCTGTAGATACTCTTTGATCTGCTCAAAAGCTGCTTGACATCGGTCGTCCCATTGGAATTTCTTTCATTTCTTTAGGAGACCAAAAAGTGGTTCACAAGTCAAGGTTAGTTTTGAAATAAACCGTCTTATGAATTGCACTTTACCTAGAAAGCCTCTCACCTCCTTTTCAGTCCTCGGTGGTGGCATTTCTAAGATGGCCTTGATTTTGGAAGGGTCGACTTCGATACCTCTCTGTGTAATCAAGAACCCCAGCATTTTCCCTACTGTAACACCAAACGTACACTTCTGAGGATTCAGCCGTAACCGAAATTCTCTGATTCTTTGGAAGAACTTTTGCAAGGCGGTGTAGTGGCCCTCTCTTTCCTTGGACTTGACAATCATGTCGTCCATGTACACCTCAACCCCTTTATGGATCATGTCATGCAATATCGTGGTTGCGGCCCTTTGATATGTAGCTCCAGCATTCTTCAACCCAAATGGCATTACTCTATAGCAATAAGTCCCCCACGGAGTGGTGAAAGCAGTCTTCTCCCGGTCTTCGGGTGCCATCACAATCTGGTTGTAACCCGAAAAGCCATCCATGAACGAAAGCAAAGCATGCCCCGCTGTGAAGTCCACTAACTCGTTGATATGCGGTAAAGGAAAGTCATCTTTCGGACTGGCTCTGTTCAAATCCCTGAAATCTACGCATACCCGGATCCTGTCATCCTTTTTTGGCACCGGAACGATGTTGGCCAACCAAGTTGGGTACTCAGATACCAGCAGGAACCCTGCGTCAATTTGCTTGGTGACCTCATCTTTAATCTTGAGAGCCCAGTCCGGGCGTATCCTTTTGAGTTTCTGTTTAATGGGTCGGGCCTCGGGGTCAAGAGGGATCTGGTGCTCTACACTCTCAGGATCGATCCCAGGCATGTCTTCGTAGGACCATGTGAAAACATCTTTGAAATCTTTTAATAAATTAACTAAGCGCTCGCGTTCCTCCGAAGACAACGTGGAGCCGATCTAGACCAGCCGCAGGTCCTTCTCAGTACCAATATTAACTGTAGTGATTTCATCAACCAAGGGTTTAACAAATCTCTCATGTTCTTGATCAATTAAACGTTGTAAAACAGGAGGAATTTCTTCCTCGTCATTTTCATCAAAATTTTGAAAGTCCTGATTAATATAATAAATCAAAGGCACAGAAAAGTACTCAGAAGCCACAGCCATTCCATTCTCATTAATCACTTCCAAATTGTCTGATTCCTCTGTTACAACAGACTCAAAAGAGAAAGAAAAAGACGACCTAGACAGGACTGTGGCATCCAGGTTGTCACCCCCAGAAATACCGGACTCAGACTCAGACGAGCTGGAACCTGATACCGGCTCCACAGACTCGGTGGAATCAGGTTCTGGCTCACTACCTGATCCGGTGCTGCTTGATAAAAACCCCTCCTCGTACTGTCAGATGAGAGAGGGTGCAATGGATGCATCCAAAATGCTTGAAGGTGGGCTCGCAGCCGTTTCATTCCCAATCATGGACACCGAGAAGTTATCCCCCAAGCACTTCTATACGATCGGAGGATCTGAAAGAAGACAAGCCAGCGCTACCCTATTTCAATTTCGGTGTTCTTAGAATCTACTTTCTCATTCTGCTCAACCTCAGCTGATGGGTCTATTTGCTCCTCGGCAACATCATTCCTGGATAACCTCAGGTCAAAGAAGATCTCAAACCCTGGCAAGCGACGCTTCTCTGCATTCAACCATGGCTCCGGGAAGTCGCAGAATGGAAAATCCTCCTAAAAGCGTCCGTTTAGGGCACCCTGGATGGGTCGGTGCATTAATTCGTAAGGCTTCCCTGCCTGCTTTGCTCTGGCTCTCCCAGCCATCTCCTTGCCTTTCCTTACCCAGTCCTTTTTGGTGGGCAGATAACCCAAACCAAAGGTATGTGGATTGTGTAGCATTTTGGCCGATACTGCAATGCCCTTCTGGCCACTCTTCCCTAATCTCATCCCGGGGATGTGTTGGAGCTTATTCATGAGGTACATTGACTGTGCGCTAACATATAACCCCTCATCAATAGCTAAGATGCTCTGTACGACCTGGGCCTCGGCTAGGGTAAATTCGGATAGGAACACATCCTCCGTGTCGTGCTCGATTTCCAAAACCGGTGTAGACACTTCTGGTGGCGGATGGATTGAAGAATTCCTAAAAACAATAGCCACCCCTTCCTGTGGGGGTATTTCAACATCTGATGTAAGGTGGAAGAGACTGCCTTTACCTGGTGCTGCCACGACCGCCCTAAAAGTAGGTTAAAGGTTGCGGGAACGTCCAAGATATGAAAGTCAATCTCGTGTTATCCTGGACCAACCTGAGTCTGGATTTTCACAGTCCCCATCACATCTCTGCTTGTGTTATCAAATGCTCTTATCACCTGGGTTGTTGGCACAAAGTTTGCGGGCTTCAACCCGATTGCATATGCCATCCTTGACGAGCACACGTTAATAGCGGATCCTGTGTCGACAAGAACCACCGGTATCCATTTGCTTCTATATTCCACAGAGATGTAGAGCGGCTTGTTATGATTTGTGCCCTCGGGCGACAGTTCTTTGTCAAAAAAGGTCAACATCTGGGAAGCCCCTCCCGGAAAAACCAATCCCACTAGCTATTCAGGCGTGGTGTCTATTGAGAGTTTGGCCTTGTCCATTGCCGATAAGACAGCTTGTCTATGAACACGTGAAGCCATAAGCAATCCCCAGATGGAGATGTCTGCTTGTATCTTTTTCAACTATTTCAGCACAGCTTCTTCTTCAAGTAGTTTCTCTTTCTGCTTCTCCACCTCCTTGTCCTTTCCGGACCCCTCTGGTTGATCTAGGTGCGGGGGCTTGAAATACCGCCCACTCCTAGTCATATGGTCAACTTCACCAATATACCAGGTATCATCCAGCTGGTTATTCCCCCAGTCCTCATCGGTGTGGGCAAGACATAGGTCATCGTCTTCTCACTACATGCAGACACCTGTCCGGCTCTGTTACAACTGTCCTTGTACGCACAGCACCTTCTGTCCATGTGTTCGCAGTGCGCTCTGTTCTTGTGCACGCAGCATGTTCAGTCCCCACAGGGGCTTTGGCCTTTCCGGCTCTCTCAGAGTCTTCGACCCCTTCCCGTTCAAACTGCTTCAATGTAGCTTGCTATTTAACATCTCCTGTACTCAAAATACCCAAATCCCGAGCGAAATTCTTGGCACCGGCGCTTTCGGGCGATGCATTCTGATCCCCGGCCCTTCCGGCCACAATTGATGTCCTTGCCCCTGACAGGCCCTTTTCCAGCTAAGATTCTTCAACAATATCTGGTTGGTTGTCAAGCCACCCTGTAACCTCTGCTGACTCCTCAAAATCAAACCAATTGACTATCATGTCTCCTGAATCTTATTTTGTTGAAAAACTGAAGGTTAGCTATGTCCCCTTGTAGAGTTTCTAAGTCATCTATCCTCTGATCAAGTCCCTTCCCCCGTATTACACAAATTTCTGCCCTCATTGGCAATTCCAGGTTCGGCCTAGCCTGGCCTGCTCACGCAATGTAGCCACTCGAATCATATACCTCCTCAGCACAGCTCCCAATTTCCTCAGATCCTAAATCATCAGCCCCATTTTCCTCCGAAATCATCCCTGTTCCATCTTCAATGATCACCACCATTGGTTCAGGTTGGGCTCGGGAGATGTCCAACATGCCCAAGTCAATGTTGTCAAGAATGAACACCTCCGGCTTAGGTAGGTGAAACGGGGTGATATATATGCTAGGGTCATATGACACGACCCCAGTTTGGATTGAGTTGATGCGTTTGGGAGGTGGGGCTTGGTTGTGTGGTGGGAGAGGGTTGGTTGTGACGTTCGGCTTCTCCGGAGGCATGATCACCCTATTGTCGACGAGATCCTGAATCTCGTGACGCAATCTAAAGCAATGGTCGGTGTCGTGACCATGTTGCTGGTGAAAGGCGCAATATTTGGTTGGGATATGAGAGAGGGGAAGTGTTTCTGGCAATGGCTGTGGCTCTAGGGGCTTCAAGTGCCCATTCCTGATTAAAACCCCCGGAGCTTTGGACAGGGGCATGTATAATGGGGTGAAGGTTTTTTAGGCTCGAGGTTGGTACTTGGTTGTTTGTGAGTTGCTTCCGGATGCACCGGTGAATGGTGTAGCTATAAGGGTTCTTGCGGGGGTGGTGGTGACCATGCTTACTTCTGAGGCTCTGGCAGTTGCAGCACTGCTCGTGCCTGTATTGGTGTTGCGGTTGAAGGTTCTCCTGGGTTGCTCTCTGTCATTGCCAATCATACCCTGTTTTAGAGTGTCCTCGATCTGCACTCCAATCTCAAGTAGATCTCCAAAAGTGGGGAGAGGGAGGACGATCATCTTTTGCATGAGCTTAGGCTGGAGGTTGCGCACAACCATTCGTATTTGATCTTTGTCAGTTGGCTTAACGGTCATCATCGAGGTCTTGGCCCTCCAGCGAGTTATGAAGTCAGAAAAGCTCTCCTTCGGTTCCTATCTAATCGTCTCAAGATCACAAGTTGTGCTCTCGATCTGTGTGTTGTAGGAGTATTAAGCTACGAAGGCCTCGGCCATCTCCTCCCAGTTCCTCTTGACGGAATCTTCCAATTTTGCATACCAAATGGCCGCTACACCCGACAGGGTCCGGCCGAACAAAGAAAGCTTCTGCAATCTGGTGAGACCCATCGGCCTTAGTATGTATGAAAACAGCCGCAAATGCACCATGGGATCCCCAGATCCGTCAAAGCGGTCAATATGTGGCATCTTAAACCGGTCTGACAAAGTTACGGCCGCATCGGTATACCCGTCCTTAATGTCTGGAATGGACTTCACACCTTGAGATTTCTTGAACAGCTTTTCAAGCTTGCTCACTTTTAATGCCGTGGGGTCCACCTCGAACTCGAAGGGAGAATCCGGTAGATTGATAGGCGTGGGTGCCTTGGACAGTTGAGGTAGAATCGGGGGCAGAGGTGGCCCCGTTGGGAAGTCTGTATCCTCCTGGACATTCTAGACATTCGCCGTCTCCCCGGGTATTGGGACTCTTGGTGGGGGAGGAGCTTGGTGTAAAGCAGATGCTCCGGTTTGCTGTTGTAACTTGGCAATTAACTCAGCCTGTTGAGCCATGACCTCAGCCTGTTGTTTGGCAAATTCTGCTTGACGAACAGCGACCTGCTGCATAGTTTTGATAATTTCTTGGAGTTGACGCATCATTTCCTCCATTCTTGCTGTACTGCCCTGATCTAACTGAACTGCCGGTATATCTGCCTCTGCAGTAGACTCAGAAATCTCAACCTGACTGCTTAAGGACCACTGATCAGGGAACCGCGGTACCGATACACTGTGCCTCACTGACCTTCGTCTAGCAACCGGGGGCAAAGAGTAGAACACTGGTTGTCTGTCTATCAGATCCTCAGATCGATGGAGTCTGCGACCTCTAGTCCAGAGTGCTTGGGGAATATCTGCTTGGTTGGAATGAATTGTGCTAAACTACCTAGCAAAAAGATAAATAAAGCATAATAAAGAAATAAACAACCAGAAAAACGGATAGCATAACGGCTTAAATAAACACAACACACAGTTGGTATTTGTAAGCTGAATATACTGTTCTCAAACACTGATCGTTGTTTCCAAATCACTGCCCCAAATCTGAATCTGATACCCGCAGGTAAAACTGATTCCCAAATACTGATACTGATGCCCGCAGGCTTGATACCTAGACTTGCAAACTAGTACATGCATTCCTGTAGAGACACTCTCTAAAAGCACATAGCAAGCAAGTGAGAGCCAAAATTCCCCTATGTTGGGGTAGGGTTTCTCTGTCCTATGTTGTCAAGAGCTAGGGTTTCACTATGCACACAATGGCTTCAAACAACCTATAATCGGGTAAACAACCTGTCCTAGTTTGGAATAGTCACTATGGATTCCGCATATGCACTAGGTCTAATGGTCCAAAAGGGTGCCCCGGTAAAAATCGGGGTTTGTGTTCCCAACGTGGCAGAGCCCGTAATCGATCAGCCTTATGGCACGCTTCTCAAAGCGAGCCTTCGGCAAACCGTTCAGGAATAACAGATGGCAAACACGGTGTCCTAGGCACACCAATGCACGTGCAATGCAAAGAAACACATAAGTGTAGTCAAAACAAGATATCATGAGTTCGAGTCAAGTTCTCTAACTCTCCAGCAGAGTGGCCAGAAACTGTAGACGTCCCCGGACGTCCCAAGAAAATCCTGTTTTGTCCATTGGGCTTACTACAGTTCGGACTCAATGTCACGGTTTTTAATCTGATCTCGCAAAGTGCAATACGAGATTGATAAATCACCAAAGAGTTCAAGTCTGGTAAATTGTTTTAAAAATTGATTTTTAGAAAGAAGTGCCAAACATGGACTGCTTTGCCAGGCACAGAGTCGCCACCTAAATATTTTATTTTGGGGGGAGGGGAATTTAGGAAACCCTGACTCGTGCCTAAGGCTACGTGTCCGTCATCACCAAAGTTGCCTCGGCTCGGGAACTTGGGTACAATTGGGGAAGGTCATGCAATGAGCGCCCTCGCTCGCCCGATCAAAGATCAGCCACTACTAAACATGATATCTTGTTTTTGAAAACATATGTGCTCTTATTCCGGTTTATTAGCCTAGAATTACTATGTGATGCGCACAACATACAAGTATAGACTAGATCACCTAAATTGGAACAAAACATCGCATGTTTGTTTGTTTGAAAATGGTTTGAAGGTGCTACTCGTAAGTAGGCTAAGACGTGGATTTGCCACCCTCAGGTGGGCTTAGAAAACATGGTGATCTGCCACTCTCAAGTGGGCTTAAAACTTGCAATTGATGAATTGTTCCAATTTAAATAATCCAATCTTCACCCACAGGCATTCAAGCAGGTATATCACATAAGCAGTTAGCCTCATGGCAAGCATGCTATCATGGCAGTCACTCACACACATCCAAGGATGCTAAAGCATAAACACTCACCGAGTACTCCAAACCAAAACAGAAACTAGTTAGTAATCAATGCATGATCCTAGTTCATGTTAAGATGGCTAATGCAACACATGCAAAATGCAACTAAAATAGGCTCGGCTATTCTAAGATGGCATATGAGATGCTACAAACGACATGTATTCAACTCAGAATTGAAATACAATGCAGTCAGTATGATGCACCGAGCCCGGTGCATGCAAGACAGATGAATGAATGCAAACATGCTAAGCATAAGGATGCTAATTGAAACATGCCCTAAAACTAACCATCGTAAGCTGGTAAATAAAAGGGAGAAAGACGTGGGGTTGAAAGACATGCAGCACACACATGCACACTTATTACAAAATTCGCCCTCTCGACGGAGGGTCCGAATAAATAATACAAAACCAACTAGCTAACCTAAGCTAATCTAATTAAACTAGTTATTACACACGAAATGAATAACAAGCTAACACTAATTATTACATAACTCTAATTAATCAACAAATTAACTAAGTAAGCAATTTAAATAAGCATGTAAACCAAATGAAATAGGCTACCTCAACTCTGTTTTGAATGACAAAGGATGCATGCATGCTTGAATTGCCTTGTTCGGAAATCCCTCGCGACGCCCCAACTCGCCTTTGTTTGCAATTGATCTCAGAAACTTGCACAATGCTCGACGCCCCAACTCGCCTTTGTTTGCAATTGATCTCAGAAACTTGCACAATGCTCCAGAGAGATGAAACTCCACCCTGGGAATCTATGGGAAGGCTGCCAACTACCGACCACCTTTTGTGGTGGAAACCAAAAAAAGTTGTCGGCCTGCTAGTAAATCTGGTCGGCCGACCAGTTTCCTCTCCTGGTTTTTGGTCTGCAACAAAGGCAAGAGAGAAAGAAGGCAAGGTATTTGCAACACACATGTGCACGACCACTCTTCACATCATTGCATAAGCTCAAGGGAGTGTAGTCCTTGACTCTCGGGCCACCAATCACGCATTTCGATGCATGATGGCCGAGGAGCCGAATTGTACGACTCAATGTGAAATGAATGCACATACAAGCACCTAAAGCCAACAACTCCATCATGGGTAGTCAAGAGTGTCGGCGATCGGGAATCGAGGCACGTTTCGTCACTTTGAGTACGAGACGTCCCTCGTTTCTTGTGTTCGGGCTAACTCCTATCCCAAACACAATGCAACAAACAAGGCATGCACAAATGCAACTCTAGCATGCAATCCTAATGCAATACAACTAAGTGATGCAAACATGCAAGGGATAACATGCAAACATGCAACTAGCATACACAATGCTATAAGCTACATGGCATGAACAATGCTCATGACACTAGCATACTCAATGCACATGAAACTAATATACACAATGAGATGAACAAGGCATGCACAATGCAATGATCAATCATGCGACAACGTGGCATACTCAATGCTATGAACTACAATGGCATACTCGATGCAAAAATGGACTTAAACCAAAATGGATGGGCCTCAGCCACACCCAAATTAGTGGCCAAAGATAATGAAAGCAAGGCTCCAAAACACATGCAAAAATGCCCAATGCAATGGCCCCCAGCCTAAGGCATAAAACACAACTTTCCAAATGCATTGAAAAGGATGAAATATAGAGTGCAAGGACACATGTTCCAACTCTAAAATTGCATACAAAATG